TCTCTTTTCCTTTGTATTTTTCTTTCTTTCTTATTTTCAGTTTCTCAACTTTTTTTACTCCCTCTTTTTTCTTTCTTTTCTCTGCCTTTTCCTCCCACAACGCTCTTTTTTTCCCTACCCGTTTCCCCTTTTTTCCTCGGCTTCAAATCACCAACGAGGGGTTGATAGCCCGTAAAACAAAACCAACCAACCAATTCTCTGCCTTTCCTCCTTCTATATTTGTTTTTGCTTCTCTTATCTCTTCCCATTCTCTTCCCTCTTTCGCATTTCATTTCCCCCATTAGCTACTCCTCCCGTCTCGCCTTCATTTATATTATTTCTCCCTCTACTCTTCTTTCACCCTTTCGGTTCTTTCTTTTTACCTTTTCTTAATCCTCCCTCCGATCTCCTTTCTCCTTCTCCTTCTCCTTCTCCTCAACATTCCCCTCTCATTATTTCATTTCATGTCCTTCTTCAATCTGTGCATTGTTTCTTTCCCTAACTGGCATACTCGCTAGTCATTATATTCGTAAATGTCGGTGTTATTCTTACCGGGACACCAACCAGATGATAGTCGCTTCTATTACACAGCCTCAAAAACAAAATGGCGTCAGCGTATATGTCGTCTGCAGAAGATTCAGCCAAGTGTATAAAGTACACAAAGCGTACAACTGACAGCGCAACAAGTGGCGAATGCGTCTCTACTTGAAGAGGAAACGAGGCTTTTTGCAGGTCCGTCTCATCTTGAAAGTAATATTTTTAATGCGAAAACCAACGCGCAAAATCCTTAGAATTTTCCTTCCTAATATTCTCCTTTATTGTAAAAGTAGTCAGTAATAAGAAGTTGAAACCGTTTGTCCCCATGGCTTCTTACTGTGTCTTCGCCTCAGTGTTATGACGGGGAAACGCATGAATGGCAATTATTGCTTCTTTAGAAATATATTGACTTTGTTTTTTTTTTCATTTCCTTATATCACAATATCTACATATAAAGCACGTGCGATACCCTCCCCTTATCAGCCGGCAACCAAGGGAGGTAACACAGTTTCGGTGGCTAAGGCGGTACTGCCACCCTTGGTGCCACAGGCAGCATTTGCCACCGGACAGGGTTTTGATGTTGTGTGTGTGTGTGTGTGTGTGTGTGTGTGTGTGTGTGTGTGTGTGTAGACGTGTCAGTCTCTGAGATTTTCATGCAACTGCAAATCAGATTTTTCAACGTAGTGCTAAAAGCGTTTCTTTTTGATCGTTAACCAATACACAACGTGCTCGTAGTCAATGACGTGGAATGTACGATAAAAAGATGTTCCACGTCGGCAGTAGCATTGTGTTGCGTGTATAGTTTTAATTAACTTTGTTTATTTTGGATCTTGACCAGATCCAACTCGATGTCTGTTGAGCTGTGGTCTGGAGACGATATGAAACTCTTCAAACACCGGCCAGTGATGTCCATATGGCGGTCGTCCTGCGTATGACGATAAACTACATCCACGTCCTGGATAAAACGATAAACTACACCCAACAGCAAGGCCTCTGATCAAGGGTTTTGAGGAGCGTGGAACCACCTCTTAATTGATAGTGTTCTCAGGTTCACCCTGACCCGGGGTGGTAGCACCTGTTATGGTCCCAGCTATGGGCAAATAGTTAACTCCCAAACTGGGGTCAAAACGTGTAAAAAATAGCTTTTAATAACAGCAATATATTTTTGTAAAAAAATACTGTCAGCAATACGTTATTACCAGAAGTACTTTTTGAGGAAAAATATTACCAGCAATACTTTTAAAAAAATATATTACCATCAATACATTTCTGAAAAAAATGTTACCAACAATAAAAAATGAAATAATCTATTGAGGTTGATATGCCGTAATACAAACCAAACCAAATCACATGGCTAAAGAGAAAGTCACTTACCGAGAAGGGCATAAATGCATCTTGGATATGCTAACATTGTGTGGCCTCTCCCACCTGTCGACCAATGAAAAAAACTCTTTTAGGACGCAAGGGGTTACAGAAAATATAGAGCTAGATCAGATAGGAGTGATAGAAGAGGGCATGAGGAGAAGGGTAGTGGATAGATCAAGGCAAATGGAGATGTCGATTGACATTACACTTGAATAGCTGGAGATTATAGCTCGCAGGGAAACAGGAGAAGGGAAGGGAGGTTCACAGGCGAGAGGTGCAAGACATGAAGCTATTAGAGTAGAAGAGACGGCTACATTTAGGAGTTTCGACAGTGAAGGGGTGAGAGCGGGATGCCAGCCTCGTATGGCGCTTGAACTCATGAAGTCTGGGAAGCAGCGAATGCAGCTCCTCGGAACAATTACCATGAAAGTATTTGTAGAACAGACAGAGGGAGGCGACGGCGCGTCTGTGAGAAAGTGACTGTAGACGAGATGCCAGAACAGGGCCAATTATATTGCATATCCGCCTCTGGAGCCTATCAAGAACCCCGAGGCAAACAGAAGGGGCACCAGACCATATATGGCAGCAATACTCCATGCAAGGGCGAATTGTTGATTTGTAGATCTGGAGGATCGATTCCGGGGAGAAAAATTTCCTGGCGCGGCACACAGGGAGCCAACTTTCCTTGCGGTGGACGAGGCAATTGACTCAATGTATTTATTCCATCTCAGGTCAGCAGTCAACGTGAGACCGAGCAGCCGCAGAGAGTTGCTCTCGAGAAGTTGAGCGTCAGACATTCTAATGGAGGACAAGGAAGGATCTCTGTGGTGATTAATAGAGAGCAGTTTTGTTTTTGAAGCGTTAAAGTAAAAGCGGTTGGTGTTCTCGAATTGAAGAAGAGTCGTTTTTATTTTTCTACCTCGTCCGTCGGCTTGCGTGGTGATTTCTGACCGTTTATTTTTTATTGGGATTTGTGACAGTAAACCTACGATTCGTGATTCCGACATTTCTTTCTGTCTGGATCTTCGAGTTTGGGCTTGAGATTTGTTCATTTCGTTGTGTGGGCTGCCATATCAATTATTTGAACACATTGTTTGCAAAGAAAGAAGCAAAAAAGTTTAAAGCTTTTTTTTTCCACAGTCCCCACCTTAAACGATTGACTGTCAAGGAATCCACGACAGCCGACCTCAATGGGTTGCAAATGCCATGTCCTCCTCCTCTTTTCCACGCAGTCGGATCGCAACGATACGTAGCGGATTTTCTTTCGCTCGTGTTCCTCCTCCCTGTCTTACTCCCATGGGACGGTTAATTCTACTCGGAGGACACACTTCTTTGAATCAGAACACGCTAAAATGTCAAGGCGTGTGTCTGTTTGGATGATATGCAAAGTAAATCTCCACCAGTGTTGGGCAATGTTATTTTTCGTCTAATAAATAAAGTGTAATATTATTAACATAAATAATATGGAGGCACGGTGGAGTAATGGATAGCGGCTCGGATTGAGGAATCGGAGAGCTGGATCAGTCGGATCCATTACATTTAATTACGCGTTAATACCCATGGGAAAGGTATGAATCCTCTTCTTCTTCCCCACAACCCCACCTGTGAGTAAGTAACAGGACAGACTGTGTGGCAACCTGTCTAGGAAAACATAACTCTGAATTCAAAATCCGGCCTGGGCTCCGTCAGGCTATCTTGCCCCCAAGAAAACTGTGGTTTCAGTACATGTAGTAACCCTACGACCCTGACGAAATAATAACTCCTCATCCCAGAAATTCAAACAGAAATCCGCTCTAATGTTTCATCTGAGACAAGCGTTTTGTTTGAGAATTTAGACGCCATAATCGTCTTGATAAAAACGATGATAAAAGTCTAATTAATTCTTGTTAATTTCCTCGTCACTTTCATACAAAAACCCGCAAATTTTGAAATACATCGCTGACGATTTGGAAGTTTTTTTTCTTGCAGATTTTTTTTATTTTGCTTGCAGATTTTGTCCGTTGATGGGGGGGGGTCCGTTGATGAGAGGTATGTCTGTATTTATTTCAAGAGACCTCTTTATTATTTTTCTATTTTCAAATTTCTTGTCTGATTTTCCTTATTAAAATCTAAAGTGCGCCCAGGAGTTTTAGTTAGTCTACAAATTTAATTTCCTCTTGTATCTCAATTGCTCGTTTAAATCTTCAATCAATATAAAATAATCGTTATTTTTTTATTGTTATCCATGAATGTATTGTTTCGATTTATTGATTACTGTTAAATGTAAATATTTTCGCCGAAATTTGTCGGGCATTCGCGGTTTAATTTAAAAATGGGCCTCCTACTAAATATTAACTGCTGACATCCCCTTTTGAGTCAAGAGTGAATAAATGCTAAAACAGTCATGTATGTTGAAAATACTGAAAAGGACATTCTTTGAAATTGTTTAAATAATGAATGAAGTTAAAAGTCTTGTCGAGTTTTCTTTCGCTGAGTAGAATTGAGAATGTCACTTTTTTCAAATATATGAATAGTGTTTAAACAAGTTATAAAGTACAGGGTGACCAAAAAAAACGGAATTTTTTTTAAGTGCGTATTGCCAGACATGAGCAAGTGGCAACACTGCGAGACAGTGACCTTGAGCAAGTAAACATTTCGCTATTTAGAATTCAAGATGAAATTTACAGTATCCCAGCTGAGATGTTGCAGCAGTCAATGAGGAATTTCAAGAATGCATTCATACAGGAGGATGCCATCTACAGGACGTTATTTTTAAAAAATGAAAATTCCATCATTGTTTCTTAAATGGCATGTTTTAAGGTTTCAATTACTATGAATAAAATATTTTTCTTCCATCACTCTTGGTTTTATTGGATTGTTAAAAAGTTCCCGATTTTTGGGGGTCACCCTGTACTTGCTCGATTATCTGTACTTCAATTATCCAGACCTGAAATGAAGTGAAAAATGATATCATCTGAACATTTTTCAATTAACCGAACTAAAACCATTCTATTATTTTTTAGCATCCCGCTACCACTTTCTTATCAATGTTGAATTTTGTGCAAATCTGTGCAAAAAGTGGATCACAGAGCTTACCCAGCTTCATACATATTTTCAGAAAAGCTCAACTTCTGATTGATCACTTAATATGTAAAACATGTCCGAATAACATCGACCTAGTTCTTGACCTGACAAAAAATAATTCCGCTAAAATCTGTCAATGCCTTTTTCGAGCCTGTCACGTGATTACGTTGATTATAAATATCAGACACGAATTCGTTCTTTCTCTTTCTTGATTTCATTCGCCTACAAAAATGTAGTCTTAAAGGAAACTGCGTTCCGATCCCCAGTTCGGGCGAACGCTATGAAAACATATTCACACATGCACACATACACGTACGTACGAAACATACCAAACTACATTACAAACATACGAAACTTTTCAAACTTCATTACGAACATTACAAGCTTAATGACAAGCAACGGAAAATTAATTACAAACATTACGGAACATTCAACCTTTCTGAAGCTAAAAGTTTAGTCAACATATTCTAAGCTTTATAATTCTTTCAACTTTCTAACAGTGAACATTTTGAGCGGCAAGTTCATTCAATTTTTGTGAGCTCGGATAAAAATATTTCATTAGTAAAAACTTTAATTCAGTCAAAGGGATATAACACTAACAAAATAGTAACCCCCTATGCTTGTGTACATCATTATACAAATATAAATATTGTTGTTGTTATAAAACCGTTTTGTGTTCCTTCATTTTCTCATATTTTGTTGTATTTTGCGTCAAATATAAATTGAGCGCGGTCATATCAACTAACGGGCCTCTACAATTTTATCTCCGACAAGTGTTTTGTTTGAGAATTTAGAAGCCATAATCGTTTTGATACAAATGATGATAACAGTCTAATTAATTTTTGTTAATTTCACCGTTGCTTTCATACAAAAAAATAAAGGAATACATTTGAATTATAACAGTTTTGTCAAGCCAATGATTGTGGCTTACGCAACTCTCAGATTTTTTTAGTGGGGAATGGAATGCCGTTTTTGTTTGCCGAGCACGTAGTAAATTCATTTAACACTCCATCACCGCATCTTTCATCACATTTAAAACCCGACCTTCGAACTACCGCCAGTCACGATGAACGGATGTGCCCTCGAGGAGGGCCCGTGCCTTGAAAGAGTATTGGGCCTCAAACTCACAACCGACCTCAAGTAGAATTCCTATATACGATCCATCGCTAAAGATGCAGGTAAAATGATCAGTTCCTTGTACCGATGCGGTAAGTACCTGACTTTCCTCTACCTTTATAAGAGCCAAATAAGGCCGAAAATGGGGTACTGTTGTCCTATTTGGAAAGGAGCTGCACAGTCCTCACTTTCCAATTTCATAAAGCGTCTCCGAGTCCTTGTTAGAAAAGAATTATTTTCCATCCTCCAAGCTCTCTCTCTCTCTCTCTCAAAGGCGGGATGTGGCGAGTCTCTCACTGCTCTATCGTTAATTCTATGTAAAGTGTTTAGACAAATTACATTAGTTTCGCCAGGCCAAACCTTCATGGCTAGAACCCACCATGCCACTTACATAGTAGCAATCCACCGACATTCCCTCTGTATAAGTTTCACTCAACCAGCTTCTACCCGCGAACCGCTGCCCTGTGGAACAGACTCTTTACTACTACTACTACTTGTAACGGCATTCACCCGGGGTGGGTTGAGCCGGCTCCAATATTGGAGTTTCATGGGAATTTCGAATTCACAAGCGGTCCCCAAACCCGCATGTATAGGCTTCAGATCAGTTCCCAGGAAACCGACAGTCCGACAACAACACATGAGAGTTGATTATAGTGGTGAAGGCCTCGTACAGGACCATCCACACTTTTTGAAAGGCCGATTACTGAGACCTGGTGCACTAGGTGCCACAAGGTCCCCAAACAGACTCCCAAGTGGATATTTCCCCGATTACTACAATCTTAACCTGTTAACTGTTATCTTCCTCTCCAATCTATAGAAACTACCAATTAATGTAACCCTCTACCTCGAGTGACCAACGGGGCCTTGTGCAGGGTGAACCTTACAGTTAAAAAAAAACACCTGTTGATATGAGTGAACTTTGACAGTGATACACGGTTTGCACATAATTGTCAAATTGCCTGACTGACGAGATATCTCGTTCTCTCGTTTTACTTTTCAATGCCAGTCTCGTTTGGCGATATTTCGTGATGTTACGCTTTGAAATTGAAAGGGGCGCTACTTCGAATGATAAAACAAAACAAAAATAGGTGAAGAAATTAAATATTTGTGACGTGGTACGGAAGAAAAAATAACCTGAAGCAAACCAGGTGCGCTAAAATTGGAGGTGCAGATGGTATAATGGGCTTACGGCCATATCAGGTTGAAACACCGGTTCCCGTACGGTGACCAAAGTTAAGCAACGTCGAGCCTGGTCAGTACCTAGACGGGTGACCGCTTTTGAATACCAGGTACTGTAAAATTGGAGGTACAAATGGTATAATGGCGTTACGGCCATATCAGGTTGAAACACCGGTTCCCGTACGATGACCAAAGTTAATCAACGTCGAGCCTGGTCAGTATCTAGATGGGTGACCGTTTGGGAATTCCAGGCGCTGTAAGCTTGGATATGCGAGTAGTGTAAAGTTTTAGTTAGTCTAAAAATTTAATTTCCTCTTGTATCTGAGTTGTTCGTTTAAATCTTCAATCAATATAAAATGAAATAAATATAAATAAAATAATTGTTATTTTATTGTTATCCATGAATTTATTTTTTTTTATTTATTTATTGGCTTGTAATGGCTCAGAATTGTTAATCGGAGAGCCGAATTCAAATTTCAGTTAGGTTCGTTATATTCACTTACGCGCAAAAACACTCAAGAAAGGTATGAATCCACATCTTCTCCTCCGGGCTATGGGTTAATTAGTAAAACTTGTAAACCATTACTAAAAAAAAAAACTCTTACAATCTAATATTTTCTGGCTTTAAATAACCTGCAAAGGGTTGATAAACCGTAGAAAACGAATCAATCTTCACGATATCCTGTGAATGTCAAATTCTTCTCCTTCATTGTCAGTTCACCTTCCTCATTATGTGTCTAAGAATCTTCAGCTGTCTCTGTCTGGTTCTAAGTATAAGTGTCATTTCTCCTTTCCATTTTCCTTAAGACTTCCCCCCCCTTGCTCACATGTTCAGTTCATTCTCAGTAGCCTTCTGTAGAACCACATTTCTGTTGTTTCACTTCTTCTCTCCGTCTGTGAAGAAATACTTGTATCAAGTGAACCTTACTTAAAAAATAAATAAATAAATAAATAAAACTCATGTTATTTTGAAAATAGTCCAATTATGTACAATCAGTATCTTGGTAAAAAGAAAAAAACAATTTGCTAGTTTTATCGTATTTAAAACTTTATACTCTTCTAAAAATGATAAATAAAATATTTAAAAACGTTTGTTTTATGTAATGTATTGATTCCTTAGGGGTTAAAATGAACAGTTGATTTACCCACACCAAGAAGATTAATGGAGGATAATAATGACAAGAAAACACATGGGTAATTTTAACAAAACAAGATAAGGAAATTATTCATGAATTTAAATGCTTGAAGTTTGTCAGTAGCTCATTTCAAGAAAACAAATCAGAAACTTTTAAAGTCTGTGGTTTTAACGAATTGTCATGAAGTGGAAATGTTCATACAACAGATTAAATGATCTGACACAAAATAATATTAAAACACGTTTAAAATAATGGTAAGAGAGATTTCATTGTTTACAGAAGGGATATATGGTTTGCATACGTTCAAAAAATAGATGAAGAGTTTGAAATACTTAACTTCTTTTCTTTCTTTTTCTTGGCTCAATGGCTAATTTCTGTGAAGGCAAGATTTTCATTGGTTCAAAGAAAATTTCACATAGGCTTGCGAATTTCTTTCCATCTTTTTCCACAGCTTGCCTGAATTTGAAGGGAGTTACTATTTCATACCCACTACAATGTCTCCATAACAATGTCTCAGCATATTTATGTATATAAGAGTATTTTGGGATGAAAAATCCAATTTTACTTCTTGACAATACCTAATTGATAGAAACCGTGGTAGTAAGAAGATTTGTTTTCTAAATATTTTATGTCTTAAATTTCTCTACATTTTCTTTGCTTGAAAATTGTATTAACAACTTTTTCATTAACCATTTTTTGACAAATATTATTTGATTCAATTTTTTAATATATATATATGTGTGTGTGTGTGTGTGTATATGTTAAAAATTGAATCAAATATACATATATATATGTTTAAAATTGAATCATATATATGTGTGTGTGTGTGTGTGTGTGTGTTAAAAATTGAATAATATATATATATATATATATATATATATATATCCACAACACTCATTCATACGCATGTATAATCATACTAACATAACAAATTTAGTCTCATGAAGTCCTGAAGGACGAAACACTTTTTTCCCACTTTGTCGTTGCTCAAAGAAGGGATATATGGTTTGCATATATACAAAAGTAGACGAAGAGAGATAGCTTTCTTGGATTGTTGAGAGAATATTCCTTGAGATGCCGCGTGCTGGCCGATAATATAATTGGCGAATAATTTTACACTAGCGAGAACATCGACATAGGTTGCGAGGAATTGAAACGAAACCTTTCACATTACTTCAGACACTGTTTGATTAATTTAATTTTTCTCCTCATTTTATATCAAAAAGAATTTCGCGTAGGCGCGCTATTTTCTTTTCTTCTTCTGCTAATTTCTGTGAAGGCAAGGTTTTCATTGGTCCGAAAACAATTTCTCATAGGCTCGCGAATTCCTTTCCTTCTTCTTCACCGGTCAATCTCTGTGAAGGTAAAGTTTTCATGGGGTCAAATAACATTTCACATAGACTCGTGAATTCCTTTCTTTCTTCTTTCTCGATCCTCCAAATTTGAAGGGAGTAGGTGAGGTGAGTTATCATTATTTCGGACTCACTACACCTCCCATCTTTTTCAAGATTTCTTGCTTATGCTTTATGCAATAAACAATAAGATATTCACATTAACGTTGCGTACTTTAAAAGGAGTCTATATATATTTATTATTTCAAATGTTATTTTTAGTAGATACCCGTATTTGAGTAGACGTCCCGTTCATTTTAAACAGTATTTACGTCAAAATTTACTCGTTTAAAATAAACGGAGTGTGTCTACTCAAATACAGGAATCCACTAAAAATAAGTAATTACAATAGGTTGAGCTAAAAAATACCATCTATTAATTCTTTAGAAATCTCTATATACAGAGAGTTCTACTTAGAAGTAATTACTTTCCTTTCGACTACTTTATTACTACACCATGTTAAATTCAGTGTCATAATCTAGGCATTAAATAAGAGGTAAATATTTTAACTGTAAAGTACGAAACGGAAAGACAAACAGGTGTAGTGATTCAGAAGACGCCTATCTCCCTTTGGTGGAGATAAGTCACATGACGTCACTTAATACAGTGACGAAAGTGACAGTCAAATTCAGTTCGTTTTACAGCAAAAAAAGCAAAAGGTTGCTTTCTTTTAACCTAGGCGAAAGGACCCAGGCTGAGGCTACATCTGCCTCTCTTTCGCTATCCCAACGCGCCTTCGGATTTCAGTGTCGACAAATAAATTTAGAAAAGTACATTTTCCCAAATTTCAAGTTTGTTATTTTTCTTCTTTATAGAAATTTTTTTACCTGATTTTCATCTGTTACAGATTATTTACTTTGTAGGATTATTATTATTATTATTATTATTATTACATAAAATACATAAAAATAAAATAATAATAATAATAATAATGAAAATTAAAAATAAAATAAAACAATAACATAAATAGGCTGTATAAAAAAATTAAATAAAAAATTAATATAATAAATAAATACTCCCAGCATGCAACAAAAACTGTTCCTGTCGAAAATACAAAGATCCTGCCAAAAGACGTTACATTCAATCTCTTCACCACGAACTTTAGGACGGGCAGCACATGTCCAACTTCTCTCTATGATCTGGATTGTAATACTATGGAGTAAATTTTTCTCTTTTATCACATGTACCATAAAAAAAATATAAAACCTAAAAAATACACCCACCAACACAAAAAAAAAATATATATATATATATATAAATTGTATGAAATTAACATACAATTTACTATGCTGTTCCTGTGATTTCTCTACGTTTTATTTCCTGTCAAGTTTGCTTTCACCTCCGTGAAGACAATTTCTGTTGCTATGATGTGAATAACCACTCTGGGGACCACTGAAGACAAAAGATTACCGAATGGGGATGTTGTAAGCTCTTACAAGAAGCGCAGCCAGGGTTGCATACAAGATCGGTAGGATAAATAAATGGGGGTTGATCTTCGACCTGAAAAGTTTAGGGTTGTGTTGATCAGTGAACCACCCACTCAGAAGTCCATTCCGTATTGTAAGAGAACAGATCATGCAATAATTTAGTTTGTGTAAAAAAAAAAAAAAAAACGCTCAGGAATCTTTTTAATGATCCGTTTTTGTTCTGAAACTGATGCAGGTACAAAATCTATTATCCAAAATTCTGAACACCGAAAATTCTACAGCCGCAATTCCGAAACGAAGCCTCACTTTTTTGTTTATTACTTTGAATATAAGAAAACATCAATTTAACAACAGATTCCTCACGAATAAGAACTGAAATACAAAAAAGGAAACAGAGACTGGTACTAAAAATAAAATATAATATATGAACAGTGTTTTCCACCTTATGGAGATCTTTGAAATGTCTCTAGGCTAGGCATGTCCAGCCCGGGGGGCCAATTACAGCCCGCAGTCAAATTTCATATGGTCCCCATTCTTATCCTCTGTTATAGAATGTGTCATGGCCTGCCAGTATTGCCAATCAAAGTATATAAAGTACACACCTAAGAAAGGCAATTTCTTGATTTACCAAATGATGGCAATAGCACTGTGTGGCCGCAATCTGGGAGTGTGAGTCACACCACCAAAGGGCGGCCACACAGTGTTTATTGTAACCTTGGCCTTTTCCAGCCAATTTCTAAAATCACTGCCTTTGAACTAGACCTGGACTAAAAACTATAGCCCAGATTTCAGTATCACCGTTCACATTAGTGCAGGCAAGTTATTTGTTTTAGTCATCTAATTTGAATACATTCTAAAAGCTCAGTGAATTAAGTTTATGTTGGTCAAAATCAATTATAAATATATTTAAACCCCTTTTCTTGTGTCCAAAATATGTTTTCTACTTCTTAATAAGATGAATGTTGGTGTTATCTTCCAATTCATATCTTTTTTAACTTAAAAGTTGTCAGACTACATATTATTGGTAATTAATGTTATGTTTAAGATTAACCTGAGATATATTTAAGCTTCCTGGAACCTCTTTTTTCTTGGACATACTTCATCTTATATCGGCTTCAGATATGACAGGATTTTGGTAAAACCTGTTTAAATTTATTTGTTATCCATGAGAAGAAATGAAAATATGCCAATGGCAATAAAATTTTCACAAGATATTTCATTTGCATTTGATTTTAATGGTTCAAAAGAATGCCAAATAGTATGGATGGCCCTCGTCTCATGCATATTCATCTCAGCAAATCTGGCCA